AAGCTTTCCTGGTCAAGGATAGAAATTCAGCATAAATTGTCATTAGACTTTCCAGCTTTAGTGCTTATGCTGGACTCTAGTGCATTTCACAAAACATGCTGAGTAGTTATTTTTTTCGCGCAAAAATCCTGTAGCAGTAATGCACGTTTTTCATTCAGGTTACTAATAAAATCATTACTACCAGCTCGTGTGCAATTGATGTCCACGTGGTTCATCTCTGTGGGAGTCAGCGGGACGGGTCGATAAGTACGCTTGTTCACAACCTAATTGGGGATTGGCAATCAGTTACATTTTATTCGTAATAAAAGTTATTTTGGGTTAGATCGCAAAAATATTAATGTGTCATTAATCCACCACCACCACTGGACACAGACAATCAGTTTGGTTTGTCACGTAAACAAAATGCGCCGATTCGTTACTGCTTCAGCACACCGGTGTGTTGGAGAGTAAACCCACAACATTTATCATTTGAGTACGGCCTTTCGCTGGTAATTACATCCAGCACCTTGCTGTAAATGTTGTGGATTTACTCTTCAACACACCGGTGGGCTAAAGTAGTGAACTATTTGTCTTTTGTCAACGTGACACTTTTTTACTGATTGGCTGTGTCGGGTGGTGGAAGGTTGCGACACATTTATAAATAACGCGATCTAACCCAAAAACGTTTATGATGAATATACTGTATATATATTACAGTAGGCGTTTAACAATACATCCCTTTTTTGTTGAGCTGTAACACATTTTACAAAAACAGCATTTAAATACAGCACATTGTTGCGTTCCAACCTGCGAACCGTTCAACTTACGAAAAGGTCTCAAAGGACGCAACCCGTTCGTACATCGAGGACTGCCCCTGCAAATTTGCGTCGGGTGAAGCGAAAATGGGTCAAGGGCCTTTGGAGTAACTGCGATGACACACAATAAATGGAAGCTGCTAGCACAGTGAGGCTAATTTTCAACTGCACTTAGAGCTGCCAGCTGTCAGAGGGTGTGGGGGCGGGTGAGGGGATAGGGGAGGTGGCAGCGATGCTAACATTGGGAAATTCTGGAAGTTTGAGCTCTTTCAGAGCTGATGGACACGGAGTTCACTTGCACAAGGATAGTGATGAATTAAGCAGTGGGACGGTTTGCCCTCCTCGCCATTCATTGAATTGCTACGATTCTGGGTCTCGATTCGATCAGGCAGTTCGCCATCTCTTGTCAATTTTGTAAATAGCAGCAGCTCACGTGGCTGTATTGTTTGTGTTCCAACTTATATCCAGCAGTTGATTCAGCCGCACACTCCGATAAGATCTCTGAAATCTGCCGATCGTACATACTCAGCGTAACTGAGCCCCGGGTGTCTAACCTGTGGCGACCCACTGGACTTTTGTCCGCACAGACCAGAGGATCTGGAATTTCCTGCTCCTTGGAGGTGAGGAGCTCTCAGTCTATGGAGACTTCTAAGTCCTGAGTGTAGACCCCACCACGTGTTTAACACAGCCTCCGCTCTTTCTCTCTTGAATCTTGTGTCTTGAATATTGTGTCTTGAATCTTGTGTCTTGAATCTTGTGTCTTGAATCTTGTGTCTTGAATCTTGTGTCTTGAATCTTGTGTCTTGAATCTTGTGTCTTGAATCTTGTGTCTTGAGTCTTGTCTCTTGCCCACACCTCTGATTAGTACGGTTGGCTACGTTCGGTGTGAAAGAGGTTCAACATATAATAATAGGGTTTCCCCCCCCCCTTTTCTGCCAGAAAAAAAGGGAAAAACCCTATTATATTTTGGTACTGGAAAAGGAGGTTTAATGATGTAGGTTCAACATATATACGAGTCTATTTCCCCAGTTGATTCTCCCTAGTTTTCCTCCTCTACACACATGCCACTCTGATATCCATTGTTTGAGGGAGCCTTATAAATCGAATTATTATAATTATATTGAATGTATAATTGTATTCATAATCATAATCAACTTAGATCAGTGCACTGATGAAGGGAGGTCTCCCCTAGCTGCCACCATCTTTGAGAAAGGAGTGTTTACTTTATACTCTTAGTTTTTTCGGTATAGTCACGTAGGTAAAAGTGAGGGCCTCACTTGATACAGCAAATCTGGCTGTGACGGTCCCACCTCATGACGGAGACTTGTGTTGCCTCCGAAACGTCGTGATTTTTTATTAATTTATTTTTATTAATTTAAATTTTTTACCTACGTGACTTTACCGAAAAAACTAAGAGTATGAATCCTTGCAGTCACGAAAACTTCAAATCTAGTGTTTACTTTGATTTGACGAGCCAACGAACAAAGACAGTCAGGGGCCACCCATTTAGTAGGTACGCAAAAATCTGTCAAAACTTGACCCCTCCCCCCTCCCTGTACGCACGCGGACTTTTTACACCCCCCCCCCCCACCTGCGTACGTACGCTTGATGCACCCCACCACCCCCGAATTTTACTAATATAATAAGCCAGGAATGTTGACTTAAAGCTTTCGTGACTTCAGGAATTCATATTCTTGGGTCTTTAGGTGAATTCACGTAGATAGGTTCAAAGAAAATAATAAAAAAATAACAAAAAACTACGACGTTTCGATCGCAACACAGCAATCGTCATCAAAATATATTTTTCTTGCCTCAGCAGCTCTCTCGCTCTATTTTTCACCTGATGACGATTGCTTGTGTTGCGATCGAAACGTCGTGATATTGTTATTATTTTATTTCTTTTATTATTTTTCTATCTACGTGACTTTACCAAAAGACCCAAAGAATATGAATTCCTGCTGTCATGAAAGTCAAGATTATTAACGTGTCATCATTAGACCTCTTTTGCCAGTACCAAAATATAATAATAGGGTTTTTCCCCTTTTTTTGACAGCAAAACTGGTGTGGACCAATCAGTTTCAAGGACAAATGCATCTATTATCATAGTGTGTTTTTGTTTGCATTTTGACTGCAAGTATTGTGGTTAAAGCAGACATAAATCCTTGTAAAAAGATTTCAGTTTTGTTGCCACAAAAAAGGAGAAAACCCCTATTATTATAATAACACATCAAACGTCTCCATATGCGCTTCTGCGACCGTCTGGAATGCTCTTCCTCCCGATATCAGGAAGCCTCTAGAGCTATGGGCTTTTAAATCATCCAGATTGAAAATTCATTTATTTAGAACTGCTTCTTGTGTTTAGTTTGTTGTCCTTCCCCCGCACCTCCCATTGGAACGGTCGGCTACGTACGGTGCGAGAAAAGTTCACCGTGCACACACACATATCCCATGATGCAAAACAAAAACAAAGTAACCACTCAGCACCCCCACAAGAGCTGATCTCATCACTCCATCTCGTCCCGGGTGTACGGCCTCTTGGACACACACACAAACCACCACACACACACAAACCATCAGATTGCAAGTTAGTAACAGGTTTATTGTTACTATATTTGTTTTTTACATGTTCAACAGAGTGTGAGAATCGATTGTAATTGATCGATCATGAGATTCCTATGAGAGAGCGCACAGCAAGGATGGTGTTATCAGCGCCACTCTATACCTCGCAGGCACATTTTCCAACTTCAGCTTTCCTAAGGATTAGCGGTCGCGAAGGTAAAGAGGTGCTTCTTGACATTAAACAACTCCCAGATGGTCAATATGTCTCCGCACAGCACATCTCTAAAGTGTGCTTCTCTCTCTCTCTCTCTGTCCCCAGACCAGAAATAACCTTTACCCCCCCCCCCCACTCTCGTCTCAATTGAATGTGAAACAAATTAACTGCAAATACCACATTTTTTGAGAAGTCAACGGTGTTTTGGAACGAAGCCATGAACGACAACAACACAAATTTGCTGTGAGTTTGGGGAGGGGGAACGTTTTTTTGTCGAGCCGACGAAAGGAGAGGAGTTAAATTTTTTAAACTTTGTCAGCTTCCTGGGGGGGGGGGATCTTGACGGAGCCGAGCAATCCTGTGGCGCTGCTAACCGGGCGCCACCGGGTCGTGCCGCGCCGTGCCGTGCGCGCCGTTGCCGCCACCGCTGGGAACGAAGGTGGATCGAGGTGCCGCGCGCTTGACGGTGGCTTTGCACGAGTCGGCTAAAAAATTGAAAGCTGCGTCCGTGGTCGCGGCAAGCATATTAAACTTTTGCACGATTTTACAGCACGCGGCGTGCGAGTTATGTCTGGATTAAATGACGACATAAGGTGCTATTCGTCTGCACTGCGTTAATCCGGACTGACACTATCCGGTCTTTACTGAATGTGTCTTCGGTTGTTGAATTTTATTAATGCGTTCATTACTGAAAATATAATTTATTGTAAAACCGTGGTTATGCTTTCGTTCAAACCAAATGGTCTCACACTGCACTTGTGCTACAGTTAGCGTAAAAAATATAAATATATTTTGCGAAGCTGATTGTTAATTTTTTTGCAAAGCTAATTGTTAATTCACGGACGCATCCCTGTTTTTATCACGTTGTGTATGTGCTGCAGAAAAAAAATAGTTGTTCCCCGATGTCCTGATGTCCTAATCACTCCATGAGAACGAAGGTGGAAAGTAAAGAATATCCTCCCAGAGCTCAATCGATCATCGGGAGAGGGCTGCTTAAGCAGACACTGCGAAGCGCCTCTCCAGTCACTCGATTAGGCTTCTGTCTCACGCCACAAGACGTGCTCTTCATGCTCCCTGCAATCTCGGTTCTCAGCCCTGATAAATTTTAGCCGTCACTGGCTGAGCTAAGCTGAATTAGGTAAAGATGCACACCTGCAAATTGCTCGCTCATGCCACTGCTAGAAGAAGGGCCTCCGCTTGAGGGGTGCTCTACACAGCCCCCCTCGGTAGGAGTGCTTGGCCTACTCTTCCACGCTGGCCAGACTTACTGGAAGAGGTGGGAGCACCCACACTTTACCTCACAGCGTGAGACCTGCCCACAGGCTAACTCTGCCGCAGGGCTCAAGTGACGCGAGCCCGAGCTCGCGCGAGCTGCACCGCGCCACGTTTGCAGCCGGCAAAACTTGTGCGTTTGGTCGGTCGTGTTCCCGCAGAACGTGGTGCAGACTCAGTTCAAGGAGAAGATGAGCAGCTTCTTCGCAAACCTGATGAGAGGCCGAGAGCTGGGACACAGCGACATGCGTGGCCTGTTCTTCGGAGACTTCATGGGTGCCAAGTCGGTAGACGGCCGCAAGCGCGACTACGACGAGATCGCCGACATGGAGCAACTCAATAAGGTGCACACTCGGGCACGTGTGTGGCCACTCTTGTCCGTTTCAGTTTAAATCCACTGCTTTGCTTAAACATTTTTAAACCATTTATTTTTTTCCCTAACAGGTAAGGCCGGCTGAGCTATGTAGCTCTCTTTTCAGAAACAACCTGGCCACAAATGATAGCTCAACGAAGTGGCGTAGCATCGTGGGGAATTTATAGCAGCCAAATATTCTAAACGCATGTTTTTAAATGTAGATGGGAAAACCGGAGGAGCCGGAGGAAATTCCACGCGATCCCGGAAAAGCATGCAAACTCCAAAAATACAGGTGTAATAGTCGGGATGGAATCCACAACCTCCTGTATACCAAGTGAGGTAATTAACATCGCGCCACCGTGGCGCCACTAGTCTGAGTGAGTGCCGTCACGGCACCACAATAGTCCTCAGTCGAGGTGTAATGCTGCCCCTGGTTCGGCCACAACACTGGCTTAGCCAAGGAAAGACAGTGATCCTAGCCCCTCCCCAACACGAGCTGAGCTATGGAACGGCGCTGCGTGTAGCCCTCACAACAACGCCAGGCACAGGCGTAGGGCAACACTTGACCTGGCCCAACCCAAAGATAGCTTAGCCAAAGGATGACACTGAACCTAGCCCAACCTGGACACTAGCTAATTCAAAGGATAACACTGAAACTATCCCATCCCCAATACTAGATTAAGCATGGAACAATTGTTCCTAGCCCAACCCTAGCATAACCATGGCACCGGTAGCATCGTTATGCAGTGTCCAGGTGGTGCAACTGCAACTACCATGAGCTCAAACCCAACACCAAATTGGCCACAGGGCAACACTACTCGTAGCCCGGCCACAATGCTAGCTTAGCTATGAGACAGTCCTGCCTCTAGTCAAAGTCTAATGCCAGCTTTCAACGGGACCAGTGGCATAGTGGCGTAGATATAAAATCCACCGGTGGCTCACACATCACCGCCAAAAAGCGCAGAGTCACCCACAACGCAGGTAAATATGGTCAGTGGATGTGAAGTCCCAAGGTAAAAGCCATTCAATGAAATAAGATAATTGTAAAGGTACAGCCCTGCCATGTCTTGTGCGCACGCCAGGGGTGGAAATGGGCCTGAACGACCCAGAACGCCGTGGTGGGAGTGAAATTTTAAACCCGATTGCGTTCTGGAAGGAACCAGGGACAAAGTGTAATGACGGATAGGCTGTACAAATTCGTCGATATAATTCTCAAGTGGCTGTCCGTCACGCTCTGGGTTCCCTAAAAGGTACGTGTGAGGAAACACATGTAACATTGTGTAAAAGGCCTGCGAGCATACATAACCATCAATATAACATTGCTTCGTTATATTAAATGAACGTGCCAAAACAATCACATTATTTTGTTGTTGTTTGTCAACGCATGCGTACGCTGCTCCCTTTGCACTCAGGCTCAGTTGGTATGGTCCATATTGAAGCTGGGTGGGCATGGGTTTTATCTGTACACACCGAATATAAGTTACCTACAGAACAGCATGTATATGTTATGATGATGTAATCCATCAGATATAATAATTTAATTATAATAAAAAATGAATACAAATTCGCACAGGGGACATGGTCAATATGGTGAGCAGAGGGGCAGTAGTTGAGCGCACTGTGCTATTAACCTGGTGACCTGAGTTTGATTCCTGGCTACGGCTAACCATACGTGGTGAGTGATAACTGAGAATCCCACTTCATCGAGCCTCAATTACGAGCAGCGTGAAGTGTGCTCAACCAACCCCCCGCGACCGTCACTTACGTGGGGAGGCATTCATCCAGCAATTCATATTCACCGTGCTGTAAATTATCATTTGCATCGCAGACTGCATCTGAAATGCAAATTAGGTATCGTCATGTACAGGATGTGTCATCAACCTTGAATTTACTTTGAACCTGAAAACATCGGGTCTCACCTTCCTCGTGGTTATGTTGTATAATCTCACCTCCTGGCAAATACACACTTTGTCGTTGCATTATAATTATTTCCCTTTTCACTGTGTTTCAAGGGCTCGATGAATTGTATTTATATTTAGAATTCGAATAAAACTGGGAGAAAGTAAAAGAAATGGAAAGTACAAGCCCTTGAAATTAGATCATGAAAATGATGATATAAATGTAACGTTAAGTTAACTTTTTAACTGCACCTTTGTGTCTATACTTGACAAGAAACAAAAGTTTACAATTTTAAGTCTGAGCACACCTTACGCCAAATTTATCAGAAACGATTTGCTGCGTGTATCCACGTGAACAAGTCGTTTTTCTTTGGTGTTTGTAAAATATGTTGTGATTTTCGTTTACGTGTGCGGATAATGAAAACAACTTTTTTTATAATTGAAAGGTTATGAATAACTGCTGGCCTATGGGCGTTCGCAATCAATGTAGCACATTGATATATATTCGAGAATGAGCTAGTTATGACTTCATTGGACCTGTTATGAAAGGTGTAGCCTCAAGCTAATACCCTCTCCAATTAATGGGAATCCACATACACGGGAAAAAATAAAACCTTGACACCCATATTATTTCAACAATGTTGTAATATTGACTGCCAGGTTTCCTAATTTGTGGTACTGCCCTTTAGTAAAAACAAACATATAATTTGTACATCATTGTTGCTCTCTTCATCGTTACAAATCGACTTAGGGAATTTTTTTATACCAAACCTATATTAATATATCAGTTTATGAGAAGAAAAAATGAAATGTTATCTTTCATTCCCAGATATATAGTTATATATTTTAAACGAGTCTAACTTCATGATACAGAAACACTCGTCATACCCTCACACACACACAGTTAGCAAAGGTCATGCAAAGGTCATGCAGCCTCGCTGCTCGATATGTGGCATTATCGATTCACGTTTAATGTATTTTGTAGGTGGTGGAGAAGTGTCTGCAGGAGTACAACGCAGCCAGCAAGGCCCCGATGGACCTGGTGCTGTTCCAGTTCGCCATCGAGCACGTGTCACGCATCAGCCGCATTCTGAACATGCCCAACGGTCACGCCCTCCTCGTCGGCAAGTGTCCACTCATTACACAATCCAGACATGAATGTAATGATCTCTATATAATACAGTATCCCCTCGTTATTCACGAATTTGATATGCATGATTTTGGCTATCCGCGAATCACATCTGGAACTTTACACAACTGCATCGAGAGAGAGAGAGAAAGTGATGAGACAAAGTGATGAGATTAAATGATGAGAGATAAAGTGATGAGAGATAAACTAATGCAAGAACGTGATGAGATGAAGTGATGACACAGAATGTGATGAGATAAAGTGATGAGATAATATCAAACATTTAATAGTTTATTTATGTATTATTTAAAGTAATTTATTGGAAAGATAGGGTTTCATAGGAAAATATCATTATCCGCGAAATTTTCGATTCACGAGCATCTCTGGAACGTATCCCTCGCGAATAACTGAGGGAATTAAGTAATGCATTTGTCTGTAACACACCGAAAATAAGTGACGTCACCAGACTGCGGGGGTGGTGAGGAGAGGGGTTGATAATCATATAATCTCACGCGACACGGGTGAGGTGCGTAACAGGGAGTGATGATGTCAAGAGACGCGGGAGTGTTTGAGGAGAGGGGCCGGGTTTAGAAGCCACGCGGCATTGGTGAGGTCTAGGAAAGGGAGTGATGATAAAACGTTAATATTCGCCATCCCTTCACCAGAAAAGTTCTGTGGGTTCCTGTTAGTAATACTAATAATCTTACCTATAAATAAATGTTTTGTCTGCGGGTCTGTCTGCGTGTTTGTCTGTCTGTCCGTCTGTTTGTCTGTCTGCGCGAGTACCTTGTGACGTTTTTAACTAACAAACTGTGGGGTTTACATATCAAAAAAGTACACGGGTACCACGCCAGTATGCCCCGGGACGAAAATACGCTATTCGTATTTCACATCTGTCAAGTTTAAAGTACGCATGCGCGAGAAAGCCGGCTTATTGGTGGTGGTTGCCCTCGCAACGTAAACACACGATCGGTGGGGGGAGAATTCTCATTCGCGTTAAAAATGAAAAAAAATACACAACGCTGAGGTAAATTCTTCACAGTGTGATGTCCTCTTCTCCCCCCCCACCCCAATGTGTGCAGTTACTACCATGCTAATACTAGCATGGTAGATACTACTGTAGAGCAGGCAGGGGGATGATGGGGGGGGGACTAGGCCTCACCACGGAACTTTGTATACTTACTAGATACTATTATAGAGTCGATACATTCTACTGTAGAGTCGGTAGACAAGGACAATGCCACTGTCATCATGGATAAAACCACTTACAACAGCAAAAATCAGGACCTTAATGATGGCAGCTATATCAAAATCAATAGAGATCCTACCAACCGCCTGGCTACAAAAACCAACAATATCATCACTAATTCGACTTCTCTAATCGAACCGACCAAGCAGCTCTCTCTAAAACCTTCGGCTGCTAGACCACCCAGATGTTATGGCCTTCCAAAAATCCATAAAGAAGGTATCCCGCTCCGTCCTATCGTCTCCGCCATTAACTCACCCACCTACAAACTGGCCCGATTTCTGAGACCCTGATTCTTTTCACGGGCAAGACCACCTCAGCTGTACTTAACTCAGCTCACTTGGTTTCTCTAATCAAGGACATATCACTGTCTCCAGATCATTTGCTTGTCAGTTTTTATGTAGTCTCGCTGTTCACCAAGGTACCGGTACCTGACACCATTTCAATCATTGAAGACTTGGCCCAACAGGGACTGAATCCTGATGTACCAACTTTGGTGAGGCATTGCCTTACCAACACTTACTTCACCTGGAATAGTACATTCTACAAACAAAATTAGGGTACCCCAATGGGTTTTCCCTTATTGCCAGTGGTAGCAAATGTTTTCATGGAGAAATTTGAGACAGATGCCATCCAGACATCCACCCTATGTCCTTCCTTGTGGATGAGATACTTAGATGACACGTTTGTCATCTGGCCACATCAATTCCATACACCCATCAAATTCACAATTGAAATGGAAAATGATGGCAAGCTACCATTCCTGGATGTTTTGATCGAGAAGAGACCTGATGGCTCATTGGGACACTGTCTGCAGGAAAGCCACCCACATGGATTCCTATCTAAAGCCTGATTCCCACCGCCATCCAGACCAGAAGAATTCCCTCATGAAAACACAACACCATAGGGCACGTTGCATCTCCGACCAGCATCACCTATCCAGTGAACTGGAGCATGTACACCAAGCCCTCAAGATGAATGGATATTCGGATCGCACAATCCGCAAAGCTGTATCCCCAACCATAGGGAGAGAACCATCTGAGGACCCAATCAAAACCATCACCTTGCCATACATAGCAGGAGTTACTAAAAAGATTTCTAAAATTTTGAACAAACACAAGATCCAGGTTCGATTCAACACAGTACACAAAATCCGTGATTTTATCCCATCTGTGAAAGATGTGATTCCTGACATGCAATACCCTGGTGTCTACAAACTAAGTTGTGTCTGTGGTAGCAGTTACATTGGGGAAACGAAACGCCATGTCTCGGACTGTGTTTGCGAACACAAGGCAGATTTGAAACATGGCAGAACCAATACCTCTGCCATGGCTGAGCACTATTTGAATGCGGTGGGCTCACACGATATTGTCTTTTCCAAGACCAAGGTACTCTGCAAACCTTCGGGATACCATAAAAGACGTGTCCATGAAGCCATCCCGATTTATAAACAGACATAACTTCAACCGAGAGGATGGATACAAATTAAGCAATCATTGGAAGGATGTGATCGACCAGTTAAAGTTTTAACTGCTTTGATGTTCCCTTCCGACCTGCCGATATTAGCCGACTCTCAAATTCCCGGGCCCTAGCCGAGCTCGGCCCTCGCCGAGCTTACATTTAAAAGCAAATTTCTCTCTCCTACTCACTCTTTCCTACTCACTCCTACATTAACATTAGCTGCCCCACCCATCTCTAAACCTTTATAAACAGCCTGCCTCGGCAGATTTCCCCCTCTTTTGCACCTGAAGACGATTGCTTGTGTTGTGATCGAAACGTCGTGATCTATTAATTTTTCTACCTACGTGACTTTACCGAAAATCAGGAGATACTACTGCAGAGTCGGTAGATGCTACTGTAGAGTAATTATATACTGCTATTGAGAAAGCAGATACTGCTATAGAGTCAGCAGATACTGATATAGAGTTAATAGTTACGACTATAGTCAATATATACTACTATATAGTCAATAGATACGACTATAGATTCAATATATACTACTGTAGAGTCTGTAGTTACTACTATAGTCAGTAGATACTATTATAAACTAAATATATACTACTATAGACGCAGTAGATACTACTATAGAGTCAGTAGTTACTACTATAGTTGGTAGATACTGCTATAATCAGCAACCTCTATAGCAGCAAATACTGATATAGAGGCTGCATATACTACTATAGAGTCTGCAGATACTGCTATAGAATTAGTAGATACTATAGTCAGTTGATCCACTTTAGAGTCAATAGATACAACTATAGATTGAGTAGATACTACTATAGAGTCATTATATACTACTGTAGAGTCAGTATTTACTAGTATAGACTTGGTTGATACTACTGTAGAGTCAGTAGATACTACTACGGTCAATGGATATTACTACATAGTCATTAGATACTACTGTAGAGTTAGTGGTTACTACTATAGTCAGTGGATGCTACTATATAGTCGGTAGATGCTACTATAGAGTCGGTAGATACTACTGTAGGGTTCAGTAGGTACTACTACAGTCAGTAGATACTACTATAGAGTCAGTAGATACTACTATAGAGTCAGCAGATACTACTATAGAGTCAGCAGATACTACTATAGAATCAATCGATACTGCTATAGTCAGTAAGATACTACTGTAGAGTCAGATACTACTATAGAGTCACTATATACTACTCACTCTATTGTATGTAGGGTGTGTAGGTATATATGCCTACACGGCGGTAATAATACTTTTTTGAGGGGGGGTTGTCGACAATTTTTGGAAATCTTTTAGATCAACTATTTACCCCCCACTTTATATAACTTTTTGGACTTCTGCAAGCCTCTTACAATTTCGTTGACGGACAAATGGACAGAAAAATGGCATGCCGGGCTTTCACAATAGCTTAGTATTTTGTGTATGTATATGTAAAGTTTTTAAGGAAAGTTTTTAAATATATTTTTCCCCCGGGCAACGCCGGGTATTTCCCGGTAGTCCTCTATATACGTTGGGGGTCCGACCCTGGAAAATGGACGTGAGGTGAAACAGCATAAATCGAAAACCTATTTTACCCTTGACTTAATTATGTAAATTGATATTTTCTGGCGGTACATTTTTGGTAAAAATTTGGAGGAAATATACTAAATAAGAATTAATGTGCAACCGGAAGTCAATACAGCTTGGCAAGCACTGGATGGACATTTTTGGAATTTGCATTACCTGTCACGACACGTGCCAACTAATGTGTTACATGCTGCAGCTTGGCATCCGGTATGGTGGTGATGTTGTAGACACTGAGGCTTGAGCGCCTGCTTTCACTTCTGAAAAATAGCAAAATAGCTCAGTGGGCCTTACCTGGTAAAATCAAAAAAATAGTTGAGTTAATTTATCCTAAATCTATCTGTGCGGCTTTCTGCTAGCGTACTACTTTCTATAGTTGCTTGGCAAATTTGTCTGTTTTAATTGTTTCGTGTTTTAATGACCATGATGTTAATAATACATGCAATCAAAATACCAGGGGAAGGGAGAAAGTTGAGGGGAGACAGGACCTGCCAAAAGCAGACTTCTGCTAACGAAGGCCCAGATTAATGTGGGCCCTTGCGGCTGACATGAAACTTCCCACAATTGTGGGCCATTAGCCAAAGGCAGTTCTATTTTTGCATAGTTAATGCATTGTTAATGGACAACATTGCATTTGCCTACATTCACATTCATGAGTCTGATAAAAACTAATTTATAGTCTTGCAAGGGAACACTTTCATGGACAGTCTCACCATATACTGGAATCATTAACCCTGTGCTCCGGTCTCTAAAATAACATCGTTCTTAAATTAGCTCATGCATTAAAGTATTGCTATTTTTAAAAAAAAGTGTGTAATAACTTTGCATATAAATATATTAATTTAATAGGTGCCACATTGCTACTATGCCTGTCTTTGAGCGATGTCATTTGGAATTGCATTTGCACAACCACAGAGAGCTCCAGCATTCTAATTCCGGGCTGAAGACACCCGCGGTTAGACCATGGGAGCGCAAACAGCTCCATCTCCAGTGGAGATGGAGCTGTGAAATCGGCTCACGTGTAGGTGCTATGTGGATCGCGGGATCATGAGATATGGTGCCAATATTAGGGGGTTGGGACATTCATCCAGCAGTGAATTGACCATGGCTGATGCTGATGATTATTAAAGCAGATTCTAAAGAGGATGTCAGGTTACCAACTACTATACAAGATACAAAGAAAGTTATCATCGATTGTGGGGGTTTTGTTTTCTTAATAAAGAATATTCAAATTCTGAAGACAAAAGTATGACGATCGTTTATGAGGTAATTGTAAACGGCATAAATTAGTAACCGTCCAGTATTGAATGAAGAGGAATGGATTGACTTCCCAGCTAATTTGACCACTCAGGGCGATATAAACTAAAATTCAACCCAACAACAGCAGCTATGTACCTAGTGAAACGTTGCATCGCCCATGAAATGTGACGTCACATCAAAATGCGCAACTTTAAATGAATATAGACAACACGTTCTACTTAATTAAATATACTTTTTAATACACGCTTTCTCCTACAACATCAGAGTGCAGCGCCACATTAAATACGCACTACAATGACAATAGTTTCAAGCTATTTGAAGCATGTTTTTATGGGGGAGGGGGGGGGCAGAGCTTTGTGACGTCATATTTTAGGGGGGGGGGGGTCTGACTTTTTGTGACGTCGTGTGACGAAGAGGGGGGGGGGGTCAAAAATCGTCCAAAATCGCGTGACGGCCCCTTACCCATGCGGCCATTACAGGGCACCGTCGTCCATCACAGTGTTGATAAATAATCGATCATGGAATCGAATCGCCAGCCTGAATCGCGACGAGGCATTGAATTGGCTTTTGGGGTGGGGCGGGGGGCGGAAGGGGGGGGGTCATTCCACCTTTAACGCCTGGGCTGTCTCGGTGCCAGCCTGTTTGGCATGAATATGTAGGGCCGTTAAAGAGGATCTGTTGGCAATGTGACTGCTGCCATGCCAGTGGTTGTCACTCACACGTCCGCGTTGAAGTAACTTCAAAGTGTATGTGTGTGTGTTTCCCCCCCCCCCCTCATTCTGTTAGAGCTCTAGATTTGTGCCAGGGGCAACTTGAGACAGGTAGCCTAGGTGCATGCCTGCCAAATAAAAAAAAACGCTGCAGTACGTAGGCGGATATGTGAACCGGTCTGATATGTGAACATGTGTAGTGTCAGTGATTCTGAGAGGAGGTTTATAGGAGGCACCTTGTTTATTAACTACAACTTCCACGGTCTCGTCCTCACACAGTTACTCAGCCTTGCCTGTAGACAACACTAACCATCAAACACTGACGGCGCCGACTGAGATAGCCAACAACTTCTAGCAGCGCAACATCTAGTGAAGACGGCAGCGACGATGGCGACGAGACGACAACAACGACGAGACGAGTCCACTCCCCGAACCAGCAGCCTCGAACTCCCGATCTCGGCTCCTTTTATCTTACCAGTGCGGCCTGGCTTCGCCCTGACCGTGCCTCCCTTCTCGAACCCCAGATGAGTTCCTCCGTGACCATTGCCCTATTTCCTCTGCTCTGCCAACACACAGCCATGCACACGCTCACTGGCGTGTGTACTGTCTGTCCACCACAGTTGCCGCCGCTGTCCACCAGCCGGCGCTATTACACTACATACGTATAGAAACTAACAGTATAGAAACTAACAGTTACGCCATGCAGGGATGCTGCACAGACCGTGGTCAGTTAGTTGGTCAGGGCGAATATGTGAGCATCTGATATGTGATGTTATACTGTAGTTGATGTCTTGGACAACGTTAGTTTAATATTATAACTGTCAGTAAATTTTACTTTAACATCCCACCATATTAATAATCATTACAATTTCACAATTTACACTTCCAAAGTGCCTTTCACCAAGAGGTCACAAGGAACTGTACAAAACAACAACAACCACCATTCGCCACTGAGTGGTGGTAACATCACCACGGTGCTTGTGCCAGGCTAGGTGCATGGTAAGATCATGCGAAGTGTTGAATCCCCACTGGCAGGAGGTCATGAGACAGACATAGCAGGTGCCATGGGTCGACTGATTGAGATGACTGGCCGATGCAACACCTGCACAAAACAGACACACGTGTAGGCTTACACCAATGACACACAACCCGCAAACACAGAGCATTTAAGAAATAGAAAAAAGCCTTTAAAAGTAAGTTGCATCTTAAGGCGCAATTTGAATAAGCGAGGCGGTGGGTGGGGGGGGGAGGTCGGCAGAGCGAGCATCCCAGTGGAAGTGATTTCCACAGCCTGGGGGGTAGGGGGGCACATCAAAAAAGGCCCCAGTCAACCATCATCGTCGCGCAGACGTGAACTCGGCACGTGACAAAGAAGTGCCTCTGTTCGTATAAGTTTTGGGCATTGCTCATTTCTGTCGGTGCCCCCCCCCCCCCAAGCCGGTCTATTAAACGCGCACTCTGATTACCGGGGGACCATCCTTCCCATGCACGGCCATTGTAGGCCTCCGACAAAGTGGCACTCATTTTAATAATCGTGGAGAGAGAGACGTCATTTGTGATCTCGAGCACTTTGGCGGCGCCATCCCTCCAGATAATCACGAAGGCAGACTGTGAAATGATGGTCCAAAGCACATGATCTGCTTCTGTTCATGCTGCCTCCTTCCGTTACAAACAGTGCGTTGGGGCTGCTTCTGTGTTATATCTTTAAATGGGGGCCTTAGCTGCATTACTTAGGCAGGCTGCCATTCGCTAGTGAATTGCACACTGGGATTGCACTCCAGAGGTCGCCCAGTTTGATCTCTTTGCACGGCAGTTGCAACAATGTGCAAGCTACTTAACTCCCCCCGCCTCTTATACATCCGCCAAGCGTGATGAATGGCAAGTTGATTGGCAGGCCGTGTGTGCTGGAGCAAAGTGTGAGTACTTCCATCTCTTCCACCTAAAATACCCATGGACCCCTCAAGAGCTCCCTTGAGTGGAGGCCCTTCTGCCAGCAGCAGTCTGAGCAAGCGATTGCACGGCTCCACCTTTGGCTTTTTAAAAATCTTAACAGGATTTACCCTGCATTGCACATCCACTGATTATGTTAACCGCAGTGGGGTTCTCTAATTACAGTGACTTGAGCAAGTAATTGCAAGGTTTGCACCTCTACGTATGGAAGGACAACAAACGAAACACAAAAAGCAGTTCTAAAGAAAAATAGATTTAAAAGTGCATAAGTGGCTTCCTGATATTGAAAGTAAGAGCGGTCCAGACGGCCGCAGAAGCGCATCTGAAAGTGCGCGACGCGGTGACCACCTTTATTCGATGGCGAGCCAAAAGCCGCTGCTGCTACGATGACCGGAGTTTCGCGTGATGGTTTATGATCCTTGCTGAGTTTAAGCAAGGTATTGCGGTTCATTTGTGGCAAGCACTTTGTGTATAACGTCAAGCGCTTTGTGTCTTTTTCCTCGCATCGTATGCACCACCGCCGCAGGGATTGGCGGAAGCGGGCGGCAGTCGGCCACCAGGCTGGCGGCGTTCCTCGCCGAGCTCGAGCTGTCGCAGATCTCCGGCCAGAAGTCGTACGCGGTGACCGAGTGGCGCGACGATCTCAAGAGGCTGCTGCGGCGGGCAGGAGAGGAGGGCGTGCCCACCGTCTTCTTGCTCGCTGACCACCAGATCAAGGTGATGTCGTGTCGGGGGCTGGCTGCGAAGCGACGTTTCTGAGATCTACCATTTGGGGGTTTTTTTGTGAGCATTTTTTTCGTCTTTCAAGGACCCAGAAGACAGTGGGAATGTGAAAAGGATGAACAGCAGCGAACGTTTAGCAGGCCGGCGTAATGCACCCTCGTAATTATGGAATGAATGAGTGCGTCCGGGCGGGCTTGCCATCCTACAGGTTTTGAAGGGTTTGTCTCTTGCTCAATATTGACTCAATATGTGGCTATTCATATGCAAATGTTTCACACTGTTTACTGGGAAATTAAAATAATGGCTAAGCCTGTAAAAGCCCAACAAGAAGCCCACTCAATAAGGACGCGTATGGCTTACAATGCTGGGCAGTGTGTTTATTGTTGGAACATACCATGTGCCGTAAGAAAGTAAAACAACATTAATCAGGAAACGTATCAAATGTTTCACGAGCTACCCGCAGGCACATTTTTCGACATGAACGTCTGTCTGTCCTTCCCAGCGCCAGACAGAAACATTTTAAATTCATATACAACCCTGTATTGCTCCACCTTTCTCCTTACCTTCTCTGTTCTGTATATCGCAATGTATCTCAATTTCTCACTTTACCTCTATTTCTCACCCACCTCACCCACTCGCCCCCCTAATCGCACTTCCTGTCTTTCTCACCTTCGCTCTCCTTATTCTCACCTCTTTTTTTTCATCCCAGTCTCCCTTGCCTCTCCCTAATCATCTCTCCCACCGGTCGTCACGTTCCCTCTCTGTCCTCTTTCCATTTCCCTCTCTCTCCAATCTGCGTTTCATGCCCTTTCACTTTCTCCCCGCCCCTCTCATCTCAGTCTGTCCCTGCCTTCTCTATCTCCCTCCCTCACCTCCCTCCTTTGTTCTGATATAGTATGGTAGTATGAGTATGATAGCATGACAGCACATCCCACACATGAGTGCAGGATGCACATGGGGGGTGTGGGTGGGAGGGGGGTGCGTGACGTCACCGCGACGTACGAAGCCGGCTCAACGCTGTGGGATGCGGGTGACGTCATGGCACAGATGTACACGGTGACATCACCACCACGCACGCCTCACTTGAGACTGTGGCCCCCAGACAGACAGGAATCCACCCAGGTGGCCGAGCGAAAATATCGTGCGATTTTCATGAGGACTGCTGCACCATCCAACAACCATTAAGTCCACTGGCCAAGCAGGTCGATGAATAATTTACACCTGAATTTATAATGTAAATAAAAGCACACGTTGGATGTATAGAGCGTTTAAATGTGACTACGTTTCGGGAGCCAAGCAAGAGTTGTGGGCGCATGATGGTAGGGGAGCTACTGATTGGCGGTGGAGGCACAGGACAGTGGGGAGGTGGTATGAAGCTAGGGGGTAGCTGTAGGTCAGGGGTCGGCAACCAAAATAACAAGAAGAGCCATTTCTTTCCAATTCGGTACAAAATTCTGTATTTCAAGAGCCGCAATGCATCTGAGTACATACGTACTCATCGTTAAGAAGCAGCCCGTAAAGAGTCGCATGCGGCTCCGGAGCCGTAGGTTGCCGACCCCTGCTGTAGGTGGTTACAGAGTGGACGGACCACAGGCGGGATTTGAGTCTGCAGTGTGGATGACCCCAGGGGGAAGATGGTTACACACAACAGGGGCACCTGAGGAGGAATAGCGATGTCCCATTGAGCCAGCATTGACTGGAAGATTTGACATGAGAGCCAGGAGAGTAGAGTAAGACGAGAGGGGCGTCGAAGATGATTTGGACAATCTTGTATTTGATATTGACTTTAATTACGTAAATGAATACACATATAAGCAAGTACTTTTTGAACAAAACTCACTAATTTTTACACATGAACCAAGTATTAATTTACTTTTAAGATGTATAATTGGTATTGTGCTTATATCTTGAATTGCATGTTGTGGAGTTGTCGAATGATATTTAAGGTCTAATTTATATATGGATATATCTCTTTTGGCCACAACCCATATTTCATTTTCCCTTGTACCCAAGCCTGGTCATCGTTATGAAGGTGACTGTACGAATGGGTTATTTCCTGGTCTTATATAACAATTGTTATACGATTGTAAAGGCCATCAACATATTCAGAATGTAGCTGCTTCTGAACGACTGCCAGACCCCTAATTGCCAGAATCTCCCCAACGGACAGACGCTGCTCATCTTTTTTTGACGTGGGGTTTTTGTGGAGTCTCTGAGTCCGAACTAAATTGGCCTCGTGTGCATCGTCAAGCACAGAATTCGCCCCCAGTCATCTCCTCCCACGTACATTTTTTGACAATGTTTTTCTGATGCACTGGAACATAGCATGCATTTGTGTATTGTTTGTTTCTCCAAGGCCAAAACAAATTACGTTAATGGGAGTGTAACCATTTTATTTAGCTATTTTTAAGTTAATAATGCAAACTTAAAATATGCTTAACACAGTTAAGTCATTAGGGGTGCATTTGCTTCTTGGCATCTGTAAATGTATCGTCTTGCTAAATGTCATGCTTGTGCTCATGCACAGATCGCGATTGGGTTTGAAAATCGTGGCACTGTACTGTAGACTGTTAAACCCGTTTTAAATAGTTGTCCTCTGTCACCACTTATTATTGGTCTGACGTTTGACATTCCGTTCCACTATACGTGTACGGCTCTTTTCATAAACACTCTGCTGGACGTGGGCCTCTCCAATTGGCATGGGTCGTGGTGAGGGTTATTTTACCATACTTCACTACGCTGGTCAATGCGCGTTGGTGCAGACAGCAATTACTTTACATTGCATTTCCCGTAAATTTGACTTACGTCCTTAGACTCTCCTCCAGAGGACATTGAGTTGCTTCTGACCTTGACTGAGCTGCAGCAGAGAGTGCATTCATGGTGGCTTTCCAGCAGCTTTCACCGAAGCCAGATTATACGTTTTTTTTTAGAGTATGAAAATAGCAGCATAATTCATGTTAGAGCAAACAGGGGTCAAAAAAAAGTAGTTGGTACATCCTGTGCTATGGGTTTGCATAGATCGCAAGGGCTGTTGTGAGTGCACATTTATTCATTCTAATGACGCATAAGTGTTTAATAAAGATCCGTCATAATGCTCGGCGAATGAGATAATAAACTAATAAATATAGCGGTTAGCGCGCCTCGATTTGACATTCGTGATTTGTGCTGCTGTTGGCAGCAGTACAAGCTATTGGGAAGTAAACTGTGATATACACCCGCGCAGCAAGAGTGCATGATCGTCATTATGGCATGAGATTGGCTGTGGGGATTGCCTGTGGCTCCGTTAATGTGTTATTTTCCCCTGTGGCCCAGCTTAATTACTGCAGTCGCGACGGCTGCTCTGGTGTTGCCGTGACAGATTGCCTTCATTTAGCACGTCTAAGACTAAGAGGACGTGTCATGGCGAGATGGAATATAAACTATCGATTTGCCCTTATCGAGTTTTGTTTCAAGCGTGCGGTTGAACAGAACCAACACTTGAACGGGTGTTTTGTATGCGGCTATATTAAAGGTCAAAGGACGTGTTTGTTTAACAGGATGAATCGTTTTTGGAAGATGTCGGCATGATCTTGAACACTGGCGACATTCCCAACCTCTTTGAAAGTGATGAAAGGGTACACATCATCGAAAAGGTAAGCGTCAGAGTGCGGTCACCATCCGGCCCGCTACTTAATTCCCGCGCTGCACATAATTTAGCTCACGTGAACCGAGACAGAAGTGAGATTTATTTTTTTCCAACAACATTGACCGCTTTAAATGTAAAATGACAAAACACAAAATGAAAACGAATCAAGAATCTTTCGGGCTGGTGTGGTGGTTCACGCTGAGATTGTGTACGAGCACAATTTTCAAGGACAGAATGGTACCGTGTGAGGCAGTACAGCAGGCAGGAGAATGCTGACACATCTCAATGAACACTACCCAATCATCAATTGAACATGTACACAGTAGTCAATTTTTTCAGGTTAATTTATCGGAAACATGCAGGAACTGAAATTGTAAGACTGTACGATATTTGAAACCATAAATAGTTAAAATTGGGGTAGAGAATAAATATAAATTACAACTGATACTGAAATGTATGAAAATGGTAAAATAACAGTCGCATTTGAATTGAAATTTGAACTGAAATACAGCTGGGAGATGCATATCGAGTGTGGCGCACCTGGTCCTGCCAATCGCTGTGCTTGGTGCATATTTACGTGGCTAAATCCACGAAGAATCCACGAGGAATTTGTAAATTGAAATCGTGGTTGAAACTGACAAGTGGCAGCATCAAAGAAGCCAAGTAATAATAATCATAGCAAAACCTCCGGAAGATGCAGCCAGTATCAACAACGCCTGGGCGGGTGTCTGCCAACAAAGTACTTAAAATGCAGATCCACAAAGCACGGAAATTTGTTCCACATTCCGTTTGTAAAAACATTAAAGGTCCTGATTTTTTTTTTCTGGTAGCCCAGTAATTTCAGTGGACAGTTTGAATTTCAAGTACAAATTCGCAACAACACATACAAATGGAAATGAAGATTGTGAACTGCGCTATGAATAACAATGGGCGAGTCCCCAGACTATAGATAAAGGGCTTCTGCCAACAACCTGGCATCGCTTGAATTGTTCTTGGCTCTGGTGTCACGGTGACATCTCGGGGCCTTTTATGTCGAGCGAACATGGATGTTTGGGAATTCATCTCTGAAATCCCATGAGTGTAACCCCCCACCCCCACCCCACCCCCCCTAAATGGCATGGAAATGCTAAAGTTACCTGTTTTTTCCCCTCTAAAACTACAGCGCTTGGGGATCATCGTATATGAACCTCCATGATGAAGGAGCTCAAATCTTTATTCTAAATTAAATGAAATCATCCGTCCCTTGCATTCAACAATTTGATGATCGTTTGTCGGACAGGATATTGAGTGGTGCGCGAATAAAATGAAAGAGCAAAGTGCACGTCAATAGAAATGCCATTCTTCTTGGTTCTTTCGGTAAAGTCACGTAGAAGGGAAGTAATAAAATAATAAAAATAAAACATAATAAAACATAATAAAACAATTCTCACAATTGTTTTATTATGTTTTATTTTTATTATTTTATTACTTCCCTTCTACGTGACTTTACCGAAAGAACCAAGAAGATGAATCCCTGCAGTCACGAAAGCTTTAAATCGAGAAATGCCATTGCCTAACATTCATTCAAACTCTGGTTAGGGGGAGAAAAACATTTAATATATGATTTTAGCATGGAGTGAAAAATTCCTGAAGCTCAAGAGACCTTTCATAAGGCAACCCCAGGAACCTAAGTCTTTGGAATTTATGCCAGAGTTTCTTAAAAGAAAGGGATTAAAATATACTCTTGGTGATTTGTAAAGTTTAACGTTTTTTTCTTTAGACTCCTTGGACATAATGCCATGGCAATTAAATTTCGTGTTACATTGCATAAGATACGAAGTGGATCCTCACTGGATAGACTGCTTTGCAGTTTAAACGAATGACTCTGTTCGGTGGTCAACTGTAGTTTATGTGGCATTATTTAATTTAATGTACAGCCTTGATTCAAAGCTTTCGTGACAGCAGGAATTCATAAGAGTATTAATGTGGAGCTTCAAGCGTTTTCAACTTTATCTGGAAATCTGTATCTTGCTTTTCAACACACGTGTCAATAACACAGCCTTAAAATGACACGTATATAATTGGCGATGTTCAAGGCAAGGGCCCCTTCTTTATATGGGGCCACTGCGCCAAACTGCACCGAGTACATATATATACAACATCTATTTATTTAAAGGCGTGTTATTGACAAATGTATTTTTGCTTGTGCACCACAGCCAACGAGCCATCACCAAATCTTAGTTTTTTTTACAAATATAGTGACCGTCTATTGGCCATCGAACGAAGAAGGTCACTGCGTCGTGCGCTTTCAGATGTGCTTCTGTGGCCGTCTGGAACACTCTTCGATTTTAGGAAGCCACTGGAGCTATGCACTTTTAAATCCATGTATCTATGTTGAACCTCATTGCCACCGTATATAGCCAGCAGTGAAACTGGGTGCACACCACAGTCAGTCGACCGGCAGGCCGCGCGTGATGGGGTAAAGTTCGCGTACTCCTCATCTCTTTGAAGTCATCCCGGGCAGCGTGGAAGTGGAGGCCAAATCACCCAGTGGAGAGCCTCTCTCGAGCTTCTCCTCATCGAGGCCCTGCCTAGAGCAGGGGCGTGAGCAACACATTTCATGGCTGCCCCTTTAATTTACTTTTGTAAATCCTCACGTTTTTGCTACAATTTGTAGGGGTGAAATATTTCACCTAAATCCTCCTCTAGATAACGATCTCTCCCCGAGAGTGACCCTGCTACGTGCATTGTCAATACATACATTACATTCCAATTAATATCAATCCCAAGTGATATTGTAGAGATACATCCTAATTGTACCGCATTTCTTTTAGCATCTGTATCTTTTTCTCATTGGAAAAAAAAGCATTGTTTCCCAACGTGTTCTCACCACCTACTTGTACATAAATCAGACTCAACGTGTTCACAATCTCAATTCGCATGCCGCACCAGGTGCCACACATTACAGTCACCATGGCTAATATATGTTGCGCGCGCCTGTCAGACGGCCCAAGCATGGATAGGAAAGCAGCACCGTGGCGGCGGTGACGGTGATGGTGGTAGTGGTGTCGTCTCGCGCGAGCAGAGCTGAGAACGACCGAAATGAGGGGGAATGATTTATTCATTGATTTCGGTTTTCGCTTTTAACCCTTTGCCCCGCCGCCGCCGGCGCCGCCCCACAGATGCAGCAGCTGGCGCAGGCCGAGAACGCGCGGGAGGCGCGATCCCCGCTGCTGGCTTACGCGAGCTTCGTGCGACGCGTGCGGCAGAACCTGCACGTGGTGCTCGCCTTCAGCCCCATCGGGGACGCGTTCCGCGACCGTCTGCGCAGCTTCCCGTCACTCATCAGCTGCTGCACCATCGACTGGTTCCAGGTGCCAGCTTCCTGTCGAGATGTTAGCTACCTCACCTCGTATATAGGAGGTCGTGGGTTCGATCCCTACCCTGACGCCTGTTGTATATTTGGAGTTTGCAAGTTCTCTCTCTCTCTCCCCCCGTGGTCACGTGGATTTTTCGGTCCTTCTCTCCACATTTAGAAATGTGCGTTTAGAGTATACGGCTGCTATAAATTTCCACGTGATAAGCCACTTCGTTTGGCTATCATTTGTGGCCAGGTCGCTTCTGAAAAAAAATCTAGATAGCTCAATGGGCCTTACCTGGTAAAATAAAAAATAGTTTTTTAGTTTAACAGTTTTCTCATCTCCTGATCAGGCTCTGGGCAGTCTCCACCTGCCCGTCAGGATTTAGTCCGATTTTGGAATTGGAACCACTTTAACAGGGAATTATTTCATAGCAGAAAACAAAATAACAAATATGTGATACTGGGTTGGCACTGTTGCACAAATAACAAAACATAACACATTTGTCAATAACATTTCCATAGGAAGGAAATAAATATATTATTGATGAGGTTTGAGGTAATTACCCTTCTTCTTGGTTCTTTCGGTAAAGTCACGTAGAAGGGAAATAATAAAATAAAGTAAATGCAATCATTATTTTATTATTTCCCTTCTACGTGACTTTACCGAAAGAACCAAGAAGATGAATCCCTGCAGTCACGAAAGCTTTAAATCGTAATTACCCTTCTTCATCACAGTGATACTATGCATAGTCAAATAAAGACAGGCAATGTAATAACCTTTCCAATTTATTTTTATTTTTTTATCTTTAAAAAAACGTTTCCCACTTCAACTAGTGATGACAAATCAGGCATCTGGTCTGTACCCAGGGACCAATTGTACCATGTGAGATGAAATGCTCCAATATTTTCACCAGCGCTGCTGACCTGAGGGAAACGTCCAGGTGCTGCTGCACACTCGGGTGGCTTTGTCAATGTTCCCAGGGGGTCGCAGACAGCTGTGAACACCCACGTAGAGACATCTCTATTCGTTGGCCCATGAACAAATGCCAGGCCCTTGTTTTAAAAAGCAATTGCTGCAATATTAGCCAGCTCACGTTAAATATTGATGACCTGTTTTGATTTTAAACATAGACTGTGTGGGTGAGTGCTGTTTGCAAGCATCTATTATGGTGGGCATAGCAGTTCCATCATCTTTATTATCATTACCATCACTGTAATTGTTTTTAGAAAATCATATTTTGTTTTATATCCAGCCCGAGTGATTGCTGTTCATTTGAAGCTAAGTGTAAACTGTAGACCTTGCTCCCACAATTTAACAAGGTTCTTAAGTGTGGCAAGTTTTATGAAGAATTGTCATCAAGCCGGTTGGCGGTGCCTATGAACATAGCCGGTAATCCAGCACTGTGGAGGCAGCGAGGGTTGGTGAATCGCACGAATGTTGGGAAACTCCATGCCTTTGGGCATTGAGGAGCCATACCTTGACTTGCCAGGAGAAGGCGGTGCAGCATAGTGTCAACTAATACCACGTGTCCCTTCTGTATGGGATATGGCGTTGCTCCCTTACACGTGTGGGGTTTGTCTTGGCTGATAACATGAACAAGCAGTAATTGGCTGATAACATCTTCATATATAGAGGATCACAGAGCTTGGGCAGTTTTTGGCGCTTGATCACCACCTGGCTGTCTTCCAGCTTGTCTGTGGTTCCTTAGCGATTGTGAGATGTAATTTTCATAAGTCACGTAGGTAGAAAAAATAATAAAAATAACACTACATTTTGGTCGCAACACAAGTGTCCGTCATCATCCTCACCTGATGACGGATGCTTGTGTTGCGACCGAAACGTCGTGTTTTTTTATTATTTTTTCTACCTACGTGGCTTTACCGAAAGAACCAGAGAGTATAGATTCCTGCAGTCACGAAATCTTCAAATCAAGATGTAATTTGCATAAGTTATGCTATATTTAAACTAAACATCACAATGATTATGGTGGTTTGAGGGAAGCCTTTGGAATTCCCACAATTAGTTTACAAAAGATGCTCTTTTGTGCATGGAATACCTGATATAACAATTGTGATATTATGATAAAATGGTAATAAAAACAAATCTCAAAGCTCAGTAGGGCAAATTTCACAGCCAATCATCTCTTCAGGGTAAATAAAATAGGTATCACTTTGTGAACATTCAACACTGTGGAATGTGGAGGTGATACTGCCCAATGCTTGTTTGCGCATGCAGATAATATTGTCCAAATTCATGAACAATATGTTTTTCTATTATCTATAGATTCTACCGGTGGAACAATTAAAATTTGCATTCACAAGAAGAGTCACTTCCAATCAGGGGACTCTCAACCCCTCGTGGTGACAGAATCCAGAATCGGTCTAGTATACATCACAAACTGCACAGAGATCCAGGCAATATGGTTCAGCTCCCGACAGAGGAATGGTGGCCTCTCCTCTCTGCTAACCATTCTGACGTTTCTGGGAGCTCTCTGAGGCAGCTGTATCAGTGTCTTGGCTGTGCCAAATGGGATTTTGCCATGGCATGTGATGACTGCTTGTCCCTTCAGAACGTCTGGCGCATTCTAAATTTGATTTTCCTGAGGGGTTACCAGCCACTCGCACCAAACCAGACCGCTGTGGACTGTGGTGGATGTGAGTGTACTATGAGGGTTGTTAGCCGACTAATGTTCACCTTTCCCCGCAATGGCATTGCTCACAGCACAAGAGTGTTGCCGCTTGGAATCACGCAGAACTCATGATTTCATTACACCTCCACCCACACACGCTTCCAGAGGTTTCCCATATAGCCTTATAGACTATATAAGTATTGCTCGCGAGCAACTATTAAGGTCGACATCATCAGTTACGATCTGTATACTACTGGATGAAGGCCTCCCCTCACATATTCTATCCCTTACTGTCCTGCGATGTCTCGCTTCATCTCGTTCATACATGCAATCTGATCGCATATCTCCATTACCGTGTTGATCGTCATCTGGAGTTTTTTTTCTCTCACCCCTTTGACTGCCATTCCATTACTAGTCTTGTCCAACTGCCATATTCCCTTCTCTGGATATGACCTGCCCATGACCACTTAATCTCCACAACAGTCAATTTGTAACAATTCTGCTAGGTTTTCAACATCCGGTTTGCTGAAAAAGCAATTCAAATAGCAGATTTCAATTGCTCTGTCGGATTGCGGAGGGCATAGTCTCAGACCGGCATTACACCTACAAAAAAATAACAAAAAATAAACTCATAATTAATCGTGGATACTTCAAATTTATATTTCTTTTTTAATCTACGTGTTTCTCTTTTCATTTCTCATTGCAATTCCCAGCATGCATCTGTCCATGTTTCTTTACATATTTTCCAGTCTTGAATTTGCTTCATCGTTGGCCGAGTTTCTGGTGTATATGTCATAGCATGTCCCCATGCACTGTTTGAAATCTTTCTGTTAAATCCGGCAGTCATTCACCTGTTAATTTGACCATTCTGCTTCCGATCAGCCTTCAATAATTGATGTTCTTTGCGACAAATCTTTATTCTATTTGTGAACTAGCTGTTATTTGACTGTTGTCCTCGTATCGTGAGCCCAAATGTGCAGCCCTCTTTCTGAAGTTGTATCGCCGTAATACATTTTTTCCCATCACTTGTTTCAATGAATATTTACATTAAAAATCGGGGACGTTTAATGTTTTTCTTAATTTATGTTCGTTATTAATTTCTCCAATAAATCTAAGAATGCACCCACACTGCCATGGAATTGCCCACTATACGGACATTCATGGAAGACCAGGTGTGCTGAATTCACTTAATTGCATGATTTTATATATATCTACATATTTCTTTGCAATTAGTTTTTTTTAAACAATCAATTTAGAGACAAAATAATGCACGGCTCTTGTCAATTACATTAAATGGTCACACCTGGCGAAACGGTTGGATACATGGCCTATTTTGATATTGCAGTTACATTTAAAAAAAATTTAATCAGACCCCCCCCCTGGAATTTTAAGGGTACTTAGAGCTGATTCTACAGCCAGGATTAATTTAAAAACCATTTAAAGCTTTAATTTTGACTGCTGCCATGCTATTTAACAGTCCAAATGAAATTAATTGGATTCTGTCTATATCTCCAGCTACAAAACTCCAGGCCCCCTTATCCTCATATGGTCTAAGTTGTCCATTTATACCAATCTACCAATTCACATGCAAATTAGATGGCGGTAAAGCAATTCGTGCACAGCTGTTAATTGATTGACTCGCAAAATTAGACGATGCTGGTTGTCGGGTTCAGGATGTGGTTAGGTCGGCAGCGAGACGTGACACCTGAAATTGTTGCCCGATACACGCTCGCTCCACCGTTACAAATGAGTTGGGTAAGGAGAGGTGGCATTTGGATGTAACTTGTTACAAGGGCTATACCGAATGTGGGGAGATTAAAAATTACAATGCGATGGGATGGATAGTGGTGCCGCAGTGGCGAGATGTTAACTGCCTCGCCCGGTATGAAGGAGGGCGTGGGTTCGATCCCGATCCTGACGCCTGCTGCTGTATATTTGGAGTTTGCATGTTCTCCCCGTGGTCGCGTGGATTTTTCTCCCGGTCCTCTCGTTTTTCCCTCCACATTTAGAATCAACGTGCGTTTAGAGTATCTGGCTGCTATACATTTCCACATGATAAGCCACTTGGCTGAGCTATCATTTGTGGCCAGGTCGCTTTTGAAAAAGAGCTATTTCGCTCAGTGGGCCTTACCTGGCAAAATAAAACATAGTTTAGTTTCGTGTCTGGACCAAGCACGCTAACACCGTGCGGTACTCGGAGGGCCGTATTCTGAGTCGCGGCTCAGCCTCTTTAATGCCACTCAGCCGTGAGCCGCTCGCTCGCTTCCAAAGACGCGCAAGCAGCTCAGCCACGGCTTGGTTCACTCTCAGCCTCATTGGAATGCTGAACGTCGTTCGGACCAAGCTCAGAGCTGGCTCAGTACTAACAGTGAGGGTACTGGGGAGTAGTGGTGGCACAGTGGTTTGCGCATTGCGCTCTGAATTTGGCGACATGAGTTTTAATTCCTGGTGTGGGGCGCCCTTCATTCAGCAGTGGATTGACACTGGGCTGAACAACAATCAATATGGCTCAACACCCAAGAGATAAAGGAGTGGGGAGCCCTTCACCCAGCTCTAGATTGGCATAAGGCTGTAAACTATTATTGTTGTTTATTATGTGCATGTCTATGTACACATAGTCCACCATAAGTTGGTTCATATCTGTAATCTATAACAACAACCTATGTTTTGATCATAAATCAGTTTTTAATATAATAAAGATATAAATTTGTTTCTGATAGAGTGCCGTTCACGGCGGAGCATCTCAAGAGTACTTGTCAGCTCGTTACATTTGAAAGGGCACCCCCAGTAGCAGCCATCCCTGTGGGCACAACGTGACTCAGCACCTGCCCAGCAAACTGGCATTCGTCTGCCAGTAAGGGACGTTGATTGCTGTGTGTAATCCCAATTGAGTAATGTGTCGGTAATCTTTAAAAGGTTGTGTAATTGGTTTATGCATGGATCTGTTTACTGAGAACATTGTTGCACTAAACGCTGCACAGCTGCTCCCAACATAGAGTACATTCATGTCCAATAATATACATTCTGGGCCCTGTTCTCCAGTTGCAGGAATTAAATCTCGAAGTCAGACGTTTCATTAGAAGAAACTATTATGGACGTATCTTCAGGCTAATCAGAGCAAGGCCGTAGCCATGGAGTCAACATTGGGGGGGGACCAAATGTTCCCGGGGGTCTAAATTTGAAAACGAATTTCCTGCCTAAGATATTTAAAAATTCACTAACACATAGGATGGACTATTTTTTTGTTGTTTTTACAATGTCTAATAGTGTATTACATTGCTCTGTTTTTTTCTTTTTTACCTTTTCTTGTTTCATTGTATGTAATATCAGAGATTAGGGATTAATAAAGTACAACCATAACCACAATCATATAAACAGAAGTCTATTTTATAGCAATATATTGGGGGGGGACATTTTGAGCATATTTGAATATTGGGGGGGATGTGTCCCCCCAATATTTATTATAGTTACAGCCTTGAATCAGAGACTCGGAATTGCTTTACTGTAATCTTATGTAGCATTGCAATGCAACGATACTGTTGGGAAGATAAACTGATAAATTCTAAATTCTTTGGAAATTGTATTGAATTGTGAATAAAGTATCTTAAGATATGGTTATATTCGGATCCTGTTGCATGTGAATGCTTCCTATGTTAGAATGATATGAATATCACCTTGATAAAAACACAACAACAAATGTAATTCTGGTGATGTTTACTTGCATTGAAAGGTAAACAGTGAAACAGCTGGAGCACAAAGCACTTGAATTTGCGCAGAATTCTACAATCACACTTTTAAAGTACTTAAAAAAGATCAAATCGTATCAATTTCAACAGAATTGGCTGCCTTTGACTCGTTCATATTTTTGGAAGAATCAGGCAGTTATAAAAAATAATGCTCAATTTATAATTTTTAAAATCTTTGCTGGCTTTTATTTCGCGTTCATGGTTTTAACAATTAACAGAAGAAAAAAACATTACAATGAATTGTAATACCCTGGCTCATATGTCCGATATTACTCACCACTGATGCTAGCCATGACTCAGGTCACTGGGTTCCTAGCATAGTGCACTCCTCTAATATTACAACAATATTTATTTTTTATTTTAACTAGCAACCGGCACGTACTTTGGACGTGACCGGCCCTCTCTGCCAGCCAGCCACTAACACCTGTATTCTTATATAGAGCCCTGCATCTCTCCACCTTTCTCTCCGCTTTGTACTGTATGTCAAAATTTGTCTCGATTCCTCGCTTTGCCTTTGTTCCTATCGGTGTCTCAATTCCTCTGTCCCCTCTTCTCCCTCCACTCTATCTCAACCTCTTCCCACCCCCCTTTCTCTCTCCCAGTTTCTCTCTCTCACCTCTCACGTCTCAATCTCTCTTGCCTCTCCCTCCCTAATCGTGGCGTTTGCCTGACACACGAACCCGGCTCAACGTCACGGTGTAGATGTGCGCGGGGACGTCGCCACCACCACGCACACGCAATTGGGACCGTGGCACCCAGACAGACAGGAATCCACTGAGGTCATCGAGACAGAATTTACACCTTTATACAAGGCATCATGTTTGCAGTACGCCTTTTGGCGTCATCTGGTCCAACACCAATGGAGACTAGGCTCTAATAAAAGCTGTCTCGGGTGTGCACCAATCAACTTCAAGGACAGTGCATATCATTACCATCATCAGAGTTGTTTCTTTTTGTTTGCATTGTGACTGCTTGTGTTGTGGTTATTGCAAACATGATGCCTTGTATAAAGGTGTCAGTTTTTGTACCAGTTGAAAGGGTAAACCCTACTACTAGAGACAGAATTAGTTTTACTAATATAATGATACTGTAATCAGCATTAGAATTATGACTGCAACGTTAATTATATATGTATTACAACATTATCACACGTAACATCGCACACACATATACTAGTTACGTGAAAGTTGTACTCCTTAATTAAAAGTTGAAAATTAGGTTCTGTGAGGACTTTTAAATTAAAGTTTTCCAATTAAATTTAAGTAATTTACAAGTCTATATCAGCATATGCATACAATCATGGAGGTCTACATATATTTACGTGTTACATTTTAATCATAATTTGTTTGCATTAGTTAAACATTTTATTGAATAAATGTAACTGTTGACATGGTAAACAATTTGACAAATAAACGCCAAATTGCTGAAACGGCATTTTTATATGTATCTGTCAAAACTGTGCCATCCAAAGCAATTAACGCCACTCAGCATCTGCTTTATTGACATTATTCAATCTTAGCATAATAACGGTGAACAAATGTGACCATCGAATGTCTGGCGGTGCTCGTGCGCAGTTCAAATTCCGTCACAGTTCCTATGATCACTGTTTCATTGCATTCATGGCTTTATTTTGGTGATTTCGAAAAGTGTATTGGTTTAGCCATGTTTGTTTGTTGTAGTACAGAGTTAGACTGATGGCCTTAATCTAAGTTGTGTTGTGTTGTTGTTGTTTGACTTGCATCCCACTGGGATTTTTGCACACAGCGTTGGTGTACGGTGATTTTTTCTGAAATATTTTGCTGCCTTTTCTTGGATTTTCTGTTTGCACTTCGTCACATATTCACTTGAAGATGTTTTTTGTTCATGTTTTTGTTTTTTGTTTGTTGCGGTTGCACCCGATTCAAGAGCCGAATGGCTCACAGGGCTATACCTAATAAATGAACTTGAACGCCGCGCTCTCCTCTGCTCATTGCTCACGCAGGCTTGGCCAGAAGATGCTCTTGAGAAGGTGGCAAATCATTTTCTCGACGATGTGGAAATGTCCCAGGAGGTGCGGGATGAGGCCGTGGTCATGTGCAAGCACTTTCACCAAAGCGTGCGTGCCCTGTCAAAGAGGTGAGACTATTTACTCCCCGCGCTTTCCTCTTGCACTGCGCAAAATTACGACGGATTTTTTTTCCAATGGAAGAAGCCACTCCAAGCAAAAAAGCGCACCGCTAATTTTACCAGGTACAGCAAATTGAACACAAACAAATCTGAAGAAGGTGAGTGACAAATACGCACGCTGTGTTTGCTAGCCACACTGCTAATGAACCTCAGATGGGATTCCCAGTGGTCATTGTTGATTAAAAAAAAAAACCTTTTGCTCGCCGTTAAAAGTCTGATTCCACCATTAACTTAATACATTTCTTGGCAGAGTGTCTGCTCTAAAGATGACTCTAAAGACCGTGTACAGAAGGGGATGGTGTGGATATTATCTTTGAGTGCAGATATTATCATTGAGTGCAAACCACTGTGTACTTTCTAACAGTCCAACAATTCAGTGTCTGCAAACTCGAACTAGTGTGAGACAGTGCTAATATCCACCAGAAAGCCTGGACCAGCGGTAGAAATTTCCTATTACAATGAACGGATCAGGTTTGCACGTGACAATGGCTGACGACTACCCACAAAGCGGCACTAATTTTATCAACCACAGAGGGGATGATAGGCTTTGATTGACCAGTGATACAATGCCAAACAATTTGGATGTATACATCTTCTAAATTCAACCATACTTCAAGACGCTGTACACAACAGTGATACATATGCAGCACGGTGAAAATGATGCGCATGTAAACTCTATAACATTTTAATGAGACGCTTATAGCCAGAGGGGAAGAGGATTATATCAAGCGTGGGGGATGGGGGTGGAGGAGTATGGGGGGTGTGGTTCATTATGTAACAACATAATAATTATTCTTGGTTCTTTCGGTAAAGTCACGTAGAAGGGAAATAAAAAAATAAAAAATATATAAAACAATACAAATTCTCACGACGTTTCGACTGCAACACAAACAATCATCATCAGGTGTGTTGCAGTCGAAACGTCGTAAGAATTTTATTGTTTTATATTTTAATTTGTATTTCCCTTCTACGTGACTTTACCGAAAGAACCAAGAATATGAATCCCTGCAGTCACGAAAGCTTTAAATCAAAATTTAACATAATTATTGAAAATCTGCTGTTAGACCTGATGCGTCATTATTATACCAATGTAACTATTTATATCACGGCATCGTAGTGTATAATACATGCGGTAATTCCCCGAAACAGAACCCTCTTTCGGAACCAGGAAACTTTGTGACGTTAATAATAAAGGTGACTCAAGGTTACTTTTTTTGCCGAATGCAGATTTTACGAGAGTCTCCAGCGCAGGACGTACGTCACCCCGACCTCCTACCTGGAGCTCATCAAGACCTTCAAGAGCCTTCTGGAACGCAAGCGGCTGGAGCTGCTCACGCAGAAGAACCGCTACGTGGTGGGGCTGGAGAAACTCGACTTTGCTGCCTCTCAGGTCAGAGCTCCATCCAACGTCACGCCCCTTCGCCACTTTTTACTCCATGTCCTGGGTGTCGTACTCCTGCGTAGTCAAATGATGCTCACGGTGTACGTATGCGTGTTGAAGTTTCGATTTAAAGCTTTCGTGACTGCAGGGATTCATCTTCTTGGTTCTTTCGGTAAAGTCACGTAGAAGGGAAGTAATAAAATAATAAAAATAAAACATAATAAAACAATTCTCACGACGTTTCGGCCACAACGCAAGCAGCCGTCCTCAGGTGAAAACCAGGTCCGTCGAGGCGACAGAGTCTGAATGAAACAGCACACGAGCTTGGAGCATATATATAAGCTGGGCGCATTGAATGCAAATTCCTTTGTCAATGCGCCCAGCTTATATATATGCTCCAAGCTCGTGTGCTGTTTCATTCAGACTCTGTCGCCTCGACGGACCTGGTTTTCACCTGAGGACGGCTGCTTGCGTTGTGGCCGAAACGTCGTGAGAATTGTTTTATTATGTTTTATTTTTATTATTTTATTACTTCCCTTCTACGTGACTTTACCGAAAGAACCAAGAAGACGTGTTGAAGTTCTTTGCACCGTACGTAGCCAACCGTGCGAATCGGAGATGCTGACTGTTGATGGTGAAATTTTGTAAAATAGCGGAGATAACAGGTAGAGGTGCAGCCCTGCAATTGCTTTTCCTTGCCACTGTTGATTGATGGGCCTCTGCGAGAGGGAGCTCTCGAGAGCTGCTCGAGAGGGTATTTGGCCTACTCTTTCACGTTGGCCAGCCGCCTCGGATGAGAGGTGGGAATACCCATTCTTTACCCCCACCACATGTTACCTGTAGGTATGTGTGTACGTTGAACTTCGTTTGCACCGTACGTAGCCAGCTGTCCTAATCGGAGGTGCGGTGCAAGGACAACAAACTGAACACAAAAAGCGGTTCTCAAGAAATGAGTTTTCAATTTGGATGATTTAAAAGTGTATATCTCCAGTGGCTTCCATCATATTGGACGGAAGAGCGTCAGTGCCCCAGTTGAGGTGTTACAACAACAACAATTACTTGCTGAGATCTAAAAACAAAAACTCTACTATTCTTCTTTAACACAATAAACAACGTAAAACGTGTTTCTTTATATTCTTGCTTCTTTCGGTAAAGTCACGTAGAAGGGAAATAATAAATTATATTAATAATAAAAATTATTGCTGTGGATTTCACACCTGATGATGATTGCTTGTGTTGCAGTCGAAACGTCGTGAGAATTTCTATTGTTTTATATTTTTATTATTTTATTATTTCCCTTCTACGTGACTTTACCGAAATAACCAAGAATATGAATCCCTGCAGTCACGAAAGCTTTAAATCAACGTGTTTCTTTGTAATGTTAGTCTCTACACTGGTCATTGGGTTCACTGCACGCTGTGGATTTGGCAGTGGAGGGGAGACGAGTTTGGCAGGTGGGGAGTAGTTTTTATTTGTTGACATAAATAAGCAATTAAGAAAGCAAACTGCTCTTATTTCCTGCCCACCTACCTCAGATCTGTGCCCCAGGCTCTCGGACATAAGTTTAATGCTGCGTTAATGAGCAAATGAAGTGACTGGATTTAAAAGATGACTTTTATGAGCATGCTATAATGCCTCCCAGCATCATTACTGGTTTACAATTGCCTTGCATGTGTTGCATTACTATGGTGTTATCACTGACAATAGGAAATACCATGCTCTCCATTGCTCGTTGTACCCTATTGCTGCATGTCGCAGCTGCACAATGAGTTACCTGTGCAGCCTAAACACTAACGACGACCTCAGAACTTATCTTCTTAGTTCTTTCGGTAAAGTCACGTAGAGGGGAAGTAATAAAATAATAAAATAATAAAACATAATAAAATAATTCTCACGACGTTTCGGCCACAACGCAAGCAGCCGTCCTCAGGTGAAGACCAGTCTGGCCGAAACGTCGTGAGAATTATTTTATTACGTTTATTTTTATTATTTTATTATTTCCCTTCTACGTGACTTTACCGAAAGAACCAAGAAGATGAATCCCTGCAGTCACGAAAACTTAAAATCGAAATTTTATTATGTTTTTTTTTTATTATTTTATTAAGTTTTATTATTTTATTGTTTTATTTTTATTATTTTATGTTTAAGTTTTTATTATGTCTTATTTTTATTATTTTATTATTTCCCTTCTACGTGACTTTACCGAAAGAACCAATAAGATGAATCCCTGCAGTCACGAAAGCTTTAAATCGAAAGTAAATAATTTTATTATTTTTATTATTTTATTATTTCCCTTCTACGTGACTTTACCGAAAGAACCAAGAAGATGAATCCCTGCAGTCACGAACGCTTTAAATCGAAATTTTATTTTGTTTTATTTTTATTATTAAATTTTTCCCTTCTACGTGACTTTACCGAAAGAACCAAGAAGATGAATCCCTGCAGTCACGAACGCTTTAAATCGAAATTTTATTTTGTTTTATTTTTATTATTTAATTTTTCCCTTCTACGTGACTTTACCGAAAGAACCAATAAGATGAATCCCTGCAGTCACGAAAGAAGCTTTAAATCGAACTTTGACCTCAGAACCATCCACGCTGCCAACAATAATCCGAGCCTCAGCGCTGTCTCAGAATCAGAATATTGTCGATATCAGAGTCTTTATTCATCCTGGAGAGATCCGATGAGCTGTGAAGCTCTTTTTCACGGATGTCCAGTCCACAGATGTTTCGGACCATGGATTTTCAGCCTCGGGGAGGGCCCAATGGCAGCTTGCCCCCTGTTCTACAGCCTCAACACTTATTCACAAGCTCGACACTAACCCATAGCCTCAATTGTCACTCAGACTCAAAACTCACCCTCAGCTTCAACATTCACTGACCCACAACATCACCACTAACCCACAGTATTTGCACTCGACCCACAGCCTTAGTTTCAACACTAACACACTATCACTCAATGTGCCAAATACTCAAATGAGGGCTGGGTGGTACTCGTCTCTGTTGGAAGCTCTGAGCCAGGGGTTTAAATTAGACATTTCTATAGAAAGTGCCGGTACTGGATTGATCTACATATCCAAATCAGCTGAAGGATCTGGAAAATCACGTGACTTATGTGTCTCCATCCCCACTCCGAGTCCCACCCCTCTCATCTCTATATCTCTATATCTACATCACCTCAAGCCTTCCGCAAGTCACGTGGCCTCTGTGTGGCCACCCTCACTCTGAGCCCACCCCCTCTCCCTGACACCCACGTGCAGCTCACTCCTTCCCGCTCCTTACTTCTCTCTCTCCGCCTCTCCCCTCCCCTCTCATCCTCACCACCCTCTCGTCCCCGACATCTTGGCCCGGTCATTCTTTTTCTCTCTTTTTTTTACGATCAGAGGAAACAAAAAGATGCTCGGTGTAGTCTGCACTTTGCTTTGTTCATCATTTAGTTTTTTTTAATGATTTACTTTATGTGCCCCCCCCCCCCGTTTTTAAATGAAAGATTTCACATGAGATGTAATGCTCTGCTCTCCTCCTTTTTACCCCTTCCCTCTCTCTCCACCCCTTTTCTCTACCCCCCCCCCCTCTCTCTACCCCCTCTCTCCCTACTCCATGTCTATGTTCCCCCTGTTTTCTGTGTAATATATGTAAAAAAAAAATACTACGACAAGTGCTGCATCTGCACCCAGCCCTTCTCACAGTCATACGGCCTCCGACAGTAGCTCATAGCTGCATGCAGAGCTATCCGTCTTCTGCCACCGAGCACATGGCCTCCTCCAGCGCCCACTGCTCCTTGAAGGCTTCTCTCTCTCTCTGTTCCCCTTTCTGCCCGACGGTGCTCCTTCTTTCTTCCAGCTGCTCATCTTGAGCCGTGCCCTCTTTGTGTCTCTTGGAGACTTCTTTCCCGGCATCCCTTCCGATTCCAATTCATTTTTCTTTTCCCATTCATGACATCCTTGACTCTACCCCCCCCCCCCCTTCCCGTGGTGTGCCACAGGTAAACAGTTTATGGCACCTAATATACTATGGATGACAAGTAACAATTACATACATTCTTACGGTGTTATTTTGAATTACCAATAGAATACTTACAATGCCAAAATGAGCCTTTTGTGTTGTAAATGTTTATAGTATACTAGCGGTAAGTACCCGGCGTTGCCCGGGCGAAAAAGGCAGACACACATGTAGTTACACACACAAATGGACTGACACACACACATAGAGTTACACACACAAATGCACTCACACATACATAGACTGAACAACAACAACCGCCATTCGCCACTAAGTGGCGATGACGTCACCACAACGCTTGTGCCAGGCTATGTGCACCTTGAGGCCACGTGAAGTGTTGAACGCCTGCTGGCAGGAGGTCACGGGGCAAACCCAGATGCCACAGGTCGACTGACTGAGACGACTGGCTGATGCACCACCTGTGGCCCCTACTGTGGCAACTTGCTGTACTTTAGCCGCCCGGCGCGCCGCTCGTTGTTGTGAGCATCGCTCCTCCGCCCTCCGTTGTTGTTGGAGGGCGATTGCCTCCAACTGGCCAGTAGCGTCCTTCAGGAGCCTCCTCCACAGTGGCCGATCTTGACATGGCTGGTACCAGTCATCGGCAAGTCCACTCAGCTCCACATTCTCCTGTACCACATCACTCCATCTCTTCTCCAGCCCCTTGGATCCGGCCGAACAAAAGATGTCTAGGCATGCGGTGTCTGGCCATGCGGGCTACATGACTCAGGCAACGCAGCCTTGCCTGGCGGAGGTCACCGATGGGACTTTGTCCAAATCTTTCAAGGATTTGTGAGCTCCTCACACAATGCAGCCTGGTTAAATCCAAGATGGATCATAGGCAGGCCATCGTAAATGTTTCTAACCGGCGAAGATGTTCCATTAGGGGGGTCCAAGTTTCGCAAGCGTAGAGAAGGGAGGGAATGACCGTGGCCGAGAAGACCTGAAGCTTCGTGCGGAGTGATAGACCAGGTAGCTTCCACACAGCGTTACGCAGCCAATGAAAAGATA